CTTCAATATGTTCGTATAATTTTGGTAACATAACCTGCATGTGCCCATTCATATTGGGTTATATATGCACAGTCATTGTGTTTTGGGGCTTGGATGTCGAAGATTCAAATTTTTGCTTAAATCTCTTGAACTGTTAGTAACTGTTGCAGTATATATCGCGGCATGTCAGGGCAAGTTCTATTTGGTGTGGTCTTTTCTGTTCTACTACTCCTCTGCACTAAAACAGAATATATGTGTCTTCAATATAGAAATTGCATAACATGAACGTTTTTAATCCACAACCATATCATGCTGATCATGCTCATCATCTTCATCAACAACCAGTGAGACTATTGGCTTATGAAGCCCTTCGTAAAATTCTACATGATCCAAAAAAGGATAACTCAATGCTTCATGAGCATAAGGTCTGTCATCAATGTTATGATGGATCAACCATGATACAAACTGTTTAGCCTCAAGATCTTCAAGATTGGCCAAGTTAACTGGATTTCCATTCAAAATATTTGCCATACGATCATGCAAACAATTACCAAAGGGATGTTCACCTTTGGTTAAAATGAAGAAAGCAATCATTCCTGCAACATGGATATCAGATTTCTTTTTATAACGTCCTATTTCTTTCGTATTCATTGCTTCGATTACTTCAGAGGGCATCCAGCCTAAAGTTCCTTTGGGATCTGTATGAACTGTGCTTTCGTTTTCATTTAAAACACGACTTAGTCCAAAGTCTGCCAATCTCATGCGACCTTCAATATCAACCAGGACATTTGACGGTTTGAGGTCTCGGTGCAAAATTCCAAGATCATGGAGAAATTTAAGCCCACTTAGGATTTGTTTGATCATCCTTGGGCCATTCTCTCTCAAATGTTTAAAAGTTTTGGAATGAACATGCTCCTTCAATGTCTCTTCACACAGATCAACAATGAGATAAACGAAGGTTGTGTCTTTGACAAAGTTTCGATAGTTCACTATAAATGGTGAGTTCGTCGTGAGACTCAGGATCTTGTCCTCATTTTCAGCTATATCGTCACATGCTTGTTGCAACATTCTCTTCACAGCCACTTCACTGCCATCTTCCATGATACCAACATAAACAGATGTGCCCTTAGAACCGTTTCCGAGTAGCATAGCTTTGTCCTCGAAGAAATATTTTAATGGTAATCCAACCTGCGGCAGAAACATAAAGCAAACGTTACAAATGTTCACACATTTCAACAATGTTAATCTGTAGTTGCAATAAAAGTTGTTTTTCTAAAAAAAGCCTTTGAACCACCAAAATTAACTGTAGCTCAGTCAACCTCGTTCCAGGGAAGAGCCTGGGAACGAGGTTGTAGCTCAGTTAGAGCGCTGCGCTGGAAACGCAGGACCGCAGGTTCCATTCCTGTCAGGGACCTATATAGTTTTATTTTTAGCAGATTTTCCTGGTTAGTTGCACTGTAAAGACAATTGGTTGCACTGTAAAGACAATTCAAAATGACTAATTGACTAATAAGATACTTTGCCAAACTATCTCAGCTTGTTTCTTTCTGGAGATGAAAATGCTAGCGTTTTTAGAGTAGGAAAACTGTTACTAAAAACTCCCCAAAAAGGTGCATAAAAATTTTTCATCGGAAACAAAATTTAATCACACAGAGTCAAAATATAGACTGTCCTGTACAAGCTATCAAAGTTTCGAGAAATTTGGTGCACGCCTAGGCCAACGCGAGATCTTCAAAACGTTCATTTTCTTCCATCGTGTTACTTCAAACGCGATTTCTTTACATAACAGCGTTTACGTTAACAGCGTTTATTTACAAAATTATTGACATGCAGCGTTGCAAACAAAATCAATTTTCAACGTGCCCTCCTATAGGCCGTGAGATGAGGGTCGGAAATATGCTTAGAAAACAGATTCCGTAGCACCCCTCGTGTAACTACATAATTTTTACATGAATGGATAGATTATAATTTGCTTAGTTAGAATCCACTTCCTCCCAAGCGAAATAGTTGCACGAATTGAAGTACAGCCTCTCCAAAGTACAGGCTCCTTCGAAATCCGTGAACCGCCATTGTTGTGTTGCAAATACGCATGCGCTTGACCATAAAACACTTAATGCGCACGCGCAAATTAGAAAAACTGATCTCAATCCAGACTGGACAAACCTGGACAAGAAAAAAAATATGAAATGTGCGAAAGCAGGGCTGAAATAAAACAAGATCGCAAGCAAATCTGTTTTGCAGGCTTTAAATATTATCACAATCCCAAACATTCAGGACCGTACACAGCGGGCAGACGGGGGGGGGGGGAGGCAATTGCCCCCCTGAAAAAAATATATTTGCAATTTTTAGAATGTCATTAATTCGTCTTCGGATATTTGGGACTTTTTTCGGCATATAGACCTTACTGCCCCCTGGTGAAAAAATCCTGCGTACGGCCCTGTAAACATTCTAGGACACGCATATCGTAATTTATCATCTTTTTTTTGGGGGGGGGGGGGGGGGGGGGTGTTTCTAATATGTACAAAGAATCTGTTTGCACTGGTTTTAAATATGCAACATCGGGTACTGTAATTTTCAGTCAAATATCATAATTATCTTTCAAATACAATACTTTCATGCTTCACGATTTTATACATTAATTGCTTACAGGAGAGGGCCGGGGTGGGGAGAGGGTGGTGTTAAACAGAGAAATGATGATAACTAACAATCTTATTTATTTTCTAAATATTTCCCCGTCAATTTTATTGAGTCAATGTTGGTTGGTCCAAACCTGGAACTTCATTACGACTGTTTTTTTTGTATCAGCCAATTTCATCCTCAAACGGCTTTTCGCCAGTCCAATTTGTGCAATCGTCATTCTCAGTTTATAAAAAAAACCCAAGAAAAAGGAAACAGCCTAGTATGTTATAGGAGGTATTGTTATACAACAGCATTTCGTGACGTTTGCAATTAATTATAATAACTTGCGCATACGACGCACGCATATCAAGAGAAAGGGAGTTTCCATCTTATCTAATTAGCATTAACAGCCTTTCCGAAACACACTGTCCATTCTCAGTCAATTAAATTTAAATATGTTATCCAGCAGCATTAAGTCGAAAATCGCAACAAGACCAACAGATTACCTGACTCAGACTGAGTAATTTGCTCTTTATCAAAACATCACTGCTCTCCATAAGTCTTCAGCGAAACCGTCATCAGTACTCTGAGTGGACTCCAAAAGCTGCCCACCATGATCATCACCATCATCATCATTACCTTCATCATCTGTTTTCCATCGCCTTCGATCATCAAACAATCAGAACAAAGGCCAGCGGGTGATTAACACGATGTGGGTAAATAGGATTCTCTCAACCTGAACTCGGAGAAGTTTTGTATCTTCCTTTCAGCTAGTTGAAAGAAAATGTTTACTTGCACCGTGTGATTATTACAACCTTGAGCTACACTGGACCCACCTTGTTCAAGTTATTACAACAAATGATTACCTTACTCAGACCGAGTACTTTCCTGTTTATGAAAACATCACTGCTCTTCGAAAATGTTAGCAACGATATGTCATATAAAACTTCTCCGAGTTCAAGTTCAGAGAAACCTATTTACCCACATCGTGTTAATCATCTGTTGGCCTTTGTTCCGATTTGCGACTTCATGTTGCTATATAACATATTTACCCTGATTGTTTGAAGATCGAAGGCGATGGAAAACAGATGATGATGATGATGGCCAACTTTTGGAGTCAGAGCCGATGACGGTTTCGCTGAAAACGTTTTCAGAGACATAGCCAGGTTGGGGGCCGAAAGGGCAGCCTGCGAAAATTTATTCTATAAAAAGAAGTGAAACATGGCCCCACCTAGGTTTCTGTAGCTGCCGCCCCCCCCCTGACCAAAACTCTTGGATACGCTTCTGGAGATTTTGGAAGGCAGTGATGTTTTGAGACCTTTTGATAAAGAGCAAATTACTCAGTCTGAGTCAGGTAATCTGTTGATTTTGTTCCGATTTGGGTCTTATGCTGTTGGATACCAAATTTATATTTACTTGAGTAATGGACAGTGTGTTGCGGAAAAGTTATCAATGCTAATTAGATAAGACGGAAACTCCCTTTCTCTTGGTAGCGCGCGTTGTATGCGCAAGTTATTATAATTAGATATTTAGATTGCAAACGTCACGAAATGCTGTTGTACAACAATACCTCCTATAACCAACTAGGCTGTTTCCTTCTTCTCTGTTTTTTTTTTTATAAACTGAGAATGATGATTGTACAAATTGGATTGGCGAAAACCGTTTGAGGATGAAATTGGTTGATACAAAAAAAAGTCGTAATGAAGTTCCAGTCAGTGTAACCAATTGGTAGGTTGGCCCTTGAGGTTTGGACTAACCAACTTTGACTCAATAAAATTGACGAGGAAACATTTAGAAAATAAATAAGATTGTTAGTTATCGTAATATCTCTGTTTAGCACCACCCCCTCTCCACCCCTGGCCGGCTCTCCTGTAAGCAATTAATGTATAAAATCGTGAAGCATGAAAGTATTGTATTTGAAAGATAACAAGACGCCTGCTCAGGCGTTCACACTGACCTGAAAATGACGACACACGTGCTATGATGCAGTATACAAGAATCAAGTCGTAAACCGCAAGCAAATTGTATGGATTTTTTAAAAAAATAAAAGACCTTTTCGGGAAACCCATGGTGCAAATCTATAACTAGGAGTTACTATCGCAAGGAAAGTGCTGCCTTTTTGCCACATGATCTGAATGCAAAAGTTTATATTTCTAAACAATTCTCTAAAGGGAAGTTTACTTTTGACCCAATGGCATGACCCAATGGCATCATTTCCACGTTTCATCATTGGCAGAATGGCAGGCCTGCACATGAAGGTTATATCCCCTATGTTTCCTGCTTGTTTCTCGTTCATCATTTAATAAGCAAGTGGATATTAAGGTCTACTAATCTATTAGCTGGCAACACACACTACTTTCAGTAATAACTCTGACTAACGCCAGACAAATTTACACCGTGTACCGCCAGACGATTTTAATTGTCAGTGGTAGAGTACTGTCAGTAAATAGTTTAACAAACACATCTGTCAATGTCTTTTATTAAACCATTAACTGGCAATGCACCCCACTTTAGTATTTACTGTCTATCTACTTTAGTATTTACTGTATAGACAATGCCAGCAAAGTACTGCCTGTATTAAAATGGGCTAATTTCACGCCCCAATTCAAAATTTTACATTTTTACGATTTTTATTGTTTCTAATTATAAATATCTCAGCGAGCATC